ACTGTGCTACAACTGGTGTGGATCCCTTACATAGGGGAAACTAGATATGCATAAGAGAAACAAATCTAATACTGAGGGCCAGTTGCATCCCTTTCAGTGCTTCCAGGTTTGTATTTTAAAGGCCAGACAAAACAAAGATGAATTTTAGTTATGTACTTCAGTCTCTTGAAAATAAAACCCTACATTTGGAGTATTTTAAACAATGGACGAATGTCTCTGTCAGTCGGGGTCAGAGGGAAAAGGAATGAAATACCGGACTGATGTTCATGTTCTGCTCTGAAAGCAGGAAGTGGGTGATTTAAAGCTACTCTGGCTCTTGTTACTTGATCCAGTGGGTGCTGATTCACTTCTCTGTGGGTTCCATGTCTGACCTTTTGAAGGAGACTCAATTCCAACTCAGTTCTTGTGTGATCTAATCCACCTCCCCCAATCACCTAAGTGCACTCTAGTGTTCTGGTTAGATTCGAATTCCTACATACGTTAGGCTCTTGGAACAGAGTTTATGGTCAGGTAACATAATGTGCTGCGTACTCCTTTTACAGCTGATTCTCGTACTGAGAACATGGAGGGGGAAAAAGGAATGGGCTTGAGTGTGTTCTTCCCATTTGCTTTTCTTATGTCCTCTTATATGCATATGGGAACATTAGATACAAGACTAGATACCATGAATATAAGGGAAAAAAACTGTTTATATTTAAAACAATACAGATGGGCTGATTAAATTGTCTGCAGGGTAATGGATAGGTCAGCATGAGGTGCTGATTTTCAGTAGGTTGAATAATGCAGTATTTTTCCTTCACGTGTCTTAGGACAAGCAGACCTGCCTGGAAGCCAGACCCAGCTGCAAAGAAATGGGGTGATTCTTTAAGCTCTGGGTGAGCACAGCCAGGGTGGGGGGCTTGCCTCCTGTGAGAGAGTTGGGGGCAGCACAGTTAACCTGCTTTGGTTGGGGGAAAAAGGTTTGCTTTACATGATTCTGCAAATTTTCAGTGTTTGGGGATTTTTGGGGTTTGTGGTGTTATGGTTTGTTTTTTTTTTTTTAATTGGGATAGTCTTGTCTGAAAGAGAATTAGTCAGGATCCAAGACTCTTCCTGAACTTGCATTGGAGGCTGTGGTGACTCATACGTCACCAAATGTATGAAAGGGAGCCATCCTTTTAAAGCCTCATGCGACACTGGGAAATACGCTTGTATTGATAGTCCACTGCAAAATTTCTCCTACGTATAAGAATTAACAGCAACTTTTGTCATGGAAAACTACACTTCACAATTGTACACTCTGTTTAATGTAGTTTAACGCTGAGAAATGTGGAAGAACACAGCTGGTATTCTGATAGAAGCCAGCTCTGTGCTGTGATTGAGAACTGCAAATCTCCCTGGAAAAATCCTGATCATGTGAAGTGAATGTTTTTAAATTACTTGTTAATTCTCCTTGTCATTGTTATGTACGGGCCTCATGTCGGATGCATCAAGCCTAATCATTTGAGTTAATTTAAGGGGAGAGAGTAGGCATAACACTCTTGAGGAATGTTTCATAGATCCCTGATTAAAAGCTAAGATGTATTCTGGGTATATGCATGCAAGAATAGGTATTTTTAAACACAATCTTTATTCTTTAATGTTATGAGTTCTGTGAAGGGTGTTTCAGATGAATGTAGACTGTTTCATATGTAGACTGTTTTAGAGACTGGCAAATATTTTCTGTAGTAATTTCACTCAACTGTTTAGGTAGGTAATTTCTAAAAAGTAACGTTACAAACTGGAATATTAATAAAGAGAAAAATCCTTGTATTGTGTCTCCATTTAAGGTAGACAACTGCGTAGATCTTTTGTGCATCTTTCAGTTCTGGCTTTGTGTTGGGGAGCAACAGGAGTGGAAGATTCCTTAGGTCTTGTCAGTTAATTCACCCTGTCCATGGTTGTAGAAGATGAAAGTTTTACCACTGGTATTACCATACATGGAATTGCAGAAGTCTTTCAAACCCCTGTGGTTTGGGTTGGTATTTTTCATGTAGTAATTTCAATCTTCTAGTGCTTATTTATTTCTTTGAAACACAGATGTTTAGAAAACCTTCTGGGTTTTTTAAGTCCTTACATGTTCCTTGTATCATCAGTGTTGCAACTATCACAATGACTGAAACTGGAGAGGAGGCATAGGCTGTAGTGAATGAAAGAAGGAAGGGTTTGATACAAGCCACCGTACTTCCAGCTTTCTGAAGTACAACTTTGGAAGTGAATAGAGAGGTGGAGGTAAATGCTAAATTGTTTCTCTTCAATCCATCTAGATAGGCTGTAACTGTCTGAGAGGTATGGCTAAAGGAATAATGAATATCTATTTGAGTGCAAAAATGCTTGAAACAGAAATCCTAGTGTGTATTTAGAATGGCCTTTTAAGTCTGTTCTGACATTAGCTCATACCAAATTATTTTGATCCAGGTTTTTTAGCAAGGGGTTTTTCTCTTACATGAACACACCTCTTAATCTCCTTTCTTACAATATTCTGTGGATTCTCCAAGAATCCACAGGCATTGATGTGGGATTTGATTTGAAAAATGTTGCAATAATGACTTGCTATAATCTGTAAAAGGAGGTTTCTTTTGGTTTTTTGGTGAGCAGCCAGAGACCCCGGGAACCCAAACAGTATTTATAGTGGTGAAGCTCATGGCCATTTTTATTTGTATGATTATGATTTCACAAAGGAATACAGAATTTTTGTTGTTTTCCAGAAACCATGCAGCTGCTGGATTTTTTTCCCTTTTTAAAATTGGCTTTCTGTGTATTGCCTGTGACCATCTTTTTGCTGACTTATTTGGAGAGCTCTTTATATTCCAGTTACTGAAGGTTTTAGTTCAGCCAATAGACTTTTCATCTGCTCCTCTATTTTGATCTAAGTTTCTGGAATTTTTTCCCCTCTGAGTCTTTGTTCCTTTTTTTTCCTGCGGTCTTCTCTTAGCACTGCGTAGTTTGGTGATGTTGGGAATTGGCATTCAAAGATTTGCCTGAAGCCAAGTACTATGCCCTTCATGTAGGGCAGCAGGCTCTGTAGAAAAGGAAAATGTGAAAAACATAGTTTTGTTTCTACTTACACATTGCATCCAAGATGCAGGAAAAAAGCTGTTATTTTCAGTATTATCCTGTGAGTAAATAATTCTGTGATTAATAAGGTTAACTTCTATAGACTGTTCCAAGTTGTCTGATCTAAATGTTTTGCTCTATGCTGTGTGACATACTGAGAATGAAGCCCAGATTGGCTCAGTCCAGTCCTTTGGTTTGGGGTTCTCTTCGTCAGTGCTTGTGTATTTTGGTTTCCTACTTTCAGGAGTTAGAAGATAAATGGGGTGGTCCAGGGATTAGAAAATGGGCTAAGGGACATGTGGTGATTGGAGATTGATTTCAGAACAATTCCAGCTGGGTAAGACAGATACTACTGGCTTGAATACTGAGAATCGTATAGTTACATTTGACATGAACCTCTTGGATAGCTGTAGAATTGGTACTATGAAAAGAGAGAGAGAAGAAGAATTTATGCTGAGAGTCGAGATCTGTTCTAGCAATGTTGTTGTTTTGTACACATTCACAGTATAATATATTGTATTTTGATAAAGACATACTAAAGAGATGATCTCTGGAATGGAACATTCCCATGGCGAGTTCAGTTCTTGGATCTGAATTTTGAGGTTTTAGCCCTTCGAAAATATGTTGTTTATAACTTTTCTGTACTAAGGACTCTTGTCCAAATAATACTTAATTAGAAGATAATTTTTTTTATTGCTAAAAATACCATTTCAGTATTAAAAGCTTGATATCTAATGTAGGAACTTCAAGCAGAGTGGTTACCTATCCAAGCATCCAGTGTTAGTATGAATGCAACAGGTGGCAACGTAAACATTATCAGAAAAAAATTTGGTTACACGAAGGCTGGGCAAGGGGCAAATCTTACCAAAGGATGGTTTGCAGAACTGAAAGAAAAGCTGAAATGAAGTCTCGTACTGGCTTAGTCTGATCAAGCTGAGCCTGGACTGATGTTTAAAAGCTTATTTCATTCTTCTCTTCTCCTGGGAACTCCTTGAAATAACTAATATAATAGCAAGCTCATTAAGGTCAACCTTACATAGCATCCGGGAAGAGCTAAATAAATTTTAAGTATAAGTGGTGGCCAGTGCTGCACTTTTCCTACGATAATCCCAGCAGAAGGACCCCCATGTTTTAGTGGCACTGATGCTAGCCATATGTTTAAAACTTCAAGGACTTTTTTTTTTTTTTTTTTTTTTGTAGTGGTGGCCAGTGCTGCACTTTTCCTACGATAATCCCAGCAGAAGGACCCCCATGTTTTAGTGGCACTGATGCTAGCCATATGTTTAAAACTTCAAGGGCTTTTTTTTTTTTTTTTTTTTTAGTGTATGGAATGTCATAGACTAGAAGAAGGTAGACTTCTGTATTAGTAATTATTTTGCAACAGTAGTTTACAAAATGTCATTGTGCTCAGTGTTATACAAATACATTATTAGGAGGGGTTTTTTGTTCTGAACATTTTACAGTTGAATTCAACCAAGTCAAAGAAGTCTATGAAACGATTTTCATAGAAGGTGTGAGAAAACAGTCACATAGGTGTACAGATGGGTATTGCAGTGCTACACTTCTGATGGTGCAGGTGATTAGAGGGAGTGCGTCAAATAAGCTGTTCCACGATGTGGATATAGCTGTTGATTTGCAGATAGTATGTAGGTATTGCAGCACAAATGATGCAAATATCAACATAACTGTGGCCATGATAATCTTAGTCTCATGAACAGAAGTAGAATAAGCTAAGAGGCTCAAACCTGTGGTAATTCTAAATGATGGGTATGTTCTCCGTCTGTTCACTGTCTATTTTTTGAATTGTCAACTATTCTAGAAGGTCAGACATCTAATGAGAGCAAGGTGTGATATGTGGTTTTGTGCTTGTGATGCTCTTGTGTGCAATTAATTGCTTCATTTTTTTCTTGCCCTTTCATCAATAGGTGACAAAGAAAGTGAAGTCCATGCAGATGTTCCATACTCCTGTGACTTATGCTATGCAGGGTGACAGAGTAGGTATCTGTGTAACCCAGTTTGATCCCAAACTGCTAGAACGAGGCTTAATTTGCACCCCAGAATCACTTCACACCATCCATGCTGCAATAATTTCCCTGAAGAAAATCCAGTATTTTCGAGGAGCTCTTCAGACCAAGGCCAAGTTCCATATCACAGTTGGTCACGAAACAGTTATGGGAAGAGTGATGTTTTTCAGTCCAGCCCCAGCTGACTTCAACGAAGAAATTCACGAAAATGATTTTGATTTTGAAAAAGATTATCTTTATCAAGAAGAATATTTGTCCAAGGACTCAAATTCTTCAGAGAACAAAGAAAATGACCAGGCAGGAGAAGTCCAGCTCCCGAGACAACAGTGGGCTTTGCTAGAGTTTGAAAAACCAGTCACTTGTCCTAAACTGTGCCTTGTGATCGGCTCCAAGCTGGATACAGATATTCACGCAAATACCTGCAGGTTGGCATTCCATGGGGTACTGCTCCAAGGCATGGAAGACAAGAACTACACTGAGACTTTCCTTCCAAAGCTGAAAGTGTACAAACTGAAGCACAAAGAAGGACAAGTGGAAAGGGTAAGCTGTCTCTTTAACGCTATACATGGGAAGGAAAAATATTTGTTTGGTGTAAGTATATGTATTGGTGAGCTACAGAACTTTCACAGTCCTGTTCTAGAGTCTTTATACGCATTTTGCAATATGCTATGTATACAAGCATAAGAATCTTGTCTGTTTGCAAACAGTCAGAAATCACTGCTTGAATATGACTATTCAGTTCAATGCAGTGTTGAGTAATTTGATGCTTTTTTTCACTGATCATTTTGATGTATAACCACTCTGTTCTTCCTGCAAACTTGCTTTGCTTAAGTGCTCATCTGTTCTCTTCCCAGTTGACAGAACTTCCAGCTTTCAACTGACATATTTTACAGTTATTCTGCGGTGCATTGAAAATGTAGACTGTGTAAACCAAATAGAAAGTAGCATTAGACTAAATAACACAAAGAACACTATTAATTTTTATGTATTTTTAGATTTTATTAAATAAGAAACTCAATTATTAATGCTAATTTTAGTAGGTAAAAAGAATCTCCAAGATGCCTTGCAGAGAGCTATAGCATACTGAAGTTGGGATCAAGCTTGCTGTGTTATACAGGTGTTAATCTGCTACAGTGTATGTTCTTAATGCACTCACTGTGGCAGAAAATAGAGGTGCTTTCTGGAGGAGTTAGCATCTATAGTAAAAATTATTTGGGATTTTTTTACTGTCCCTTCAGTATGGACAGATACCCTGTCAGTAGTGGTTGGTGTTACTACATTGCTGTCATAAGTTTGATCTTGGTGGTGGTTATCTTCCAGTAATCAGTGGAGAACCATTTGTTTATACATCCCATAGTGGAATTTTTCATAATGAATGGTTTAGGTGGAGATGTACAATATATGAATAACTTCATTGCTTACCCCTAAACAAGCAGAGTTGATGTAAACTTTAGCAAATGTTTAGTTGATGTATTAGTGCAGTAGGTATTTTATTAACTTTTGGGTAAAGTAGCGTTAATTTTTATTTTTCTAATCCAAAACCCGATTGTTTGAAGAAAATGTTTAGTATTCTTACTACTTTTCAAAATTTCATAAAGCTGTATTGAGTACTGCATAATATCTGTCCTTACTTCACTGCAGGAGACTAAACGCTTAGCATACCTTACCATGTTTGCAACATATAGCAGACTTCTTTACTGCTTGCTTGCTTTACTATTTAATAGTAAAAAAAAAAAAAAACAACCAACAAACCCAAAACGTGTACCAAGATGCCCTGTCAGGGCATGATTTTGAATTAGTGAGGTACTTTCCTAAATGCCTCACTACATTAATTGATCAAATGGGCAGTTCATATTTCTGCCTTCTCTTTGAGGATTCTATGTTGCTAGTTTAGTGTTTTAAAAAAAAAAAAAAAAAAGTTTCTCATCTGAATTTCTACTACTGACTTTGGAGGCCATTCTTTTCAAAGGAACTGCAGACCTGTGGTGGTGTGTTTGGATGCCAATTTTGTCGCTAGGAAGGAAGGTAGTTAGGAGGGACGGGATCTGTAGCTTTCTGAAAATTTGGCGTCTTTTGATATGGGTTACGTGGGACATGCAAGATCAGCAGTGTTGCTCTTCAAAATTGTGGTAGCATGTGTATTTCCTCTTTTGAAATGGCCAGCTCCCTTTCTCTTCGGCTGATGGCAATGTTGAACTAGAACAACCTGTCCAAAGTGTTCTGTCCTCTAAGCTGTGGGACCAAATGTGTGTGTATTGATACCAGTTCGTGGGATGCTCAAAAGCTGTCTGGGTGCATGAAATATTTACCTTTTTGTTGGTAAAAACTTACTCGCTTGTGCATGGCCCATGCTGCGAATATTCAGAGAGACCTGGCTTACCAACTCCTTTTGTTTCTCTGTGGCTGTAGGAATATGAACGAGAACAGGAGTTTGTGTGACCCATGGAGACATGCTGCTTGTGTTCCGTTTAACCAAAACGTATTGGTCAGATCCTTTATTTTCGTTCCCAATGCATGGCACTGGTCTAGGGCAGTTGAAAACTTGTAGAGAACCAACTGCGTGAGTGTGAGCTGTCTGACTGGGTGAACAGTGTTTGCAGCTAGCCTTGGTTGTGCATTTTTAATTGTTTTTATTTCATGTTATTTTCAAATCCTTTTCCAGTTTGCTCTGCTGTTGATTTTACTGTGTAAATAATGGAATAATGTTAATCAAACTATGCATATTTAATTTTCTGGTCCAGAAAATTACCAGTGAATGTGGGTTATTGAACATTTGACCAACAGTCGTTGGTCTGATAAATCAGTGAACTGTTTTGATATCTTCCCGTGCCTTTTAAAATGCAGAGTGTGGGGGGGTATTATTTTTATCCTGTCTTCATGTGTCACACACTGTGCCCTAATATGGGCCTTGATCACTGTCTGTATGAATATTAATTGGCCCTGTAGATGACCATCGAACAGTCTGTATGCAGGTTAGGTTTGTTCTTGGGTTTTGCCTCCTGTGGTACTGTAGGTACTCGGGGCTGGCATTTTCCCTGATGCGTGCTGAAAGGATCGTGGAGCGGATATAACAAAAGCTCATGATGTAAAGTCACAGAGGCGTGCGGGGATTTGGGCGAGTTGGTGGGAAGAGGATTGTTCCAGTTAGGAAGGACCTGCTGGAGAAGTACTTACAGTGTTAGCTGAGGTAGCTGCTATTAAGCCTGCACTTTCGCAGAGCAGAGAGCAGCAGAACAATTGGGTGGTACGGTGACTTATTTTAGTACACAAAGTTGCTAGCTAATAGCAAATCTGAATCAGCTGGTCCCACCCTGCTGCTGATGGATGGCTGGAGATTAGGATCGCTGAATTTAGGGTGTCTATTCTTGGCACTGATACAGGAAAATTTCTTTCTCTGTTGAGCAAGGAAGCTCCCCCCCACCTTACCTTCCCTGGGGAGGCATAAAAAATAATAATAATTATAAAATACATGTTACCTTTATGAGAAGTGAACTTTTCCTCTAGGGAATACTGCTGGGGAAAATTAGCTTCATGGCTTCCTGAAAGGCAGGGGTGAGGGAGGCAGGGGCATGTAATGTCCACCTTCCTGGGTTCGGCATGGGCTGGAAACACACTCTCGGAACTGTGCTGTAGTGGAATTAAATAGTACCCGTCCATAAAACACTGTGGCTAATCTGATGTGGGCTCTCCGGAGCCCCCTGCTTGCTGCTGGAATTAAAATAAATTCCCTGCAGTGTAACTACCAGTTTACCCAGGAGAAATTGGGCATTTATGGTTTGGTGCTTTGTTCCTATTCTGATTAATTTCAGAGCACTGATGGAATAGTAGGAAGTGTAAATTCATTAAGTTTCAGCATCACAGTACTTGCCTTTTGTGCCCCTTTATGTGTGGCACCCCCCTGTATTTTACAGTTTATTTTTTAATAAAAGAGCAATGTTTATTCTTTAAGCTTTTTTTGGCTTTCTAAGAGAAAGTGTGACACTCTTGCTATTTCACACAAATCAAATCTATGAACTGGGTAAACACCATATTTTAAAAAGGTGAAAAAAAATTCATTTTAGTTAAGTCACACCTAAGCTTCCTGGTTTTCTCATCTGCTCAAGAGATGGTAAATATTCTACAAAAATTCAAGGACCTTTGCTGTTCTTTTGTGCCGCTCACTTTCCTTTTGGTATCTTGCATCCTTAATGCTAAGGCTTGAGTAGAGCACTGGGAGCGAAAGAACCAACCACCAGGATCTTTGAATTTACCTGTCTGCAGTATATCCTTGAGCCTCCCTTTTCACATCCTTGCTTATTTATCCACTGATTTTTTTTTTTTTTTAAGGTGTGCATTAATGTAGTATCTGAGAAATTTGGATTTAAAACATTTATCATCTGCCTTTATGGTTAAGTTTGTGTTGTCTGAGATGCTGTATAGTGCAGGGAACTTGCTTCTAACCGGGTTAGGGCATTTTGGGGTCTGCACCTATGTGGGGATTGCATCTTGGTTACACAAAAGTTGCACGATTCAGACTGGAGTTAGGATTTTAGCTGATGTTTTTGAATTGTTGGTAGCAGTGTGTGGATGCTGCTGTCTTGCTTTAGACCCAGTTTGGTTTGAGGCTAGAGTAAGTATTTAGGGGTTAGTTTTAAGGAAAATCAAAATTTTCCATTCCCTCAGAACTAAGAGGGCACTGGCAAAGGTTTATATTTGCTTAACTACTTGATTTAAAAATGATGTGAAATTCTAGTCCAGTTTTCTCTTGCAAAGAGACAACTCTAGACAAGGGAGAGGTTCAGTGGAAGGAAGTTTCTGTCGAGCATCTTTCTGGCGTGGTTATGTGAAGGCAGAGACTGTTGCCCTCTGGACACTTTATTTTTGCAAAACCTTGGCTGCCTGACAAATGTATTTTCAATAGGAAAAAGAGCTAGGCTGGCAACAAGTGGCTTGTACTGATAAAAAGATAGAAGTAGGGCTGAGAGTGCTGCTGTAAATACCAGTGTTGCTTTAAGGAGTGTGATACGGGGATTTTTGTGAAAAAAGGGCAAATAAGATTCTGTGAAGAAAGTTTATCCCTCTGAATTGGCATACGGTGGTGGCGGTGAACGTGGGCGTGCTAAACTGCAGCAGGTCAGCAGCCCCCAAGGTTGGAGACAAGCAAATTATGAAGAAAACCAACAAGTGTTGTCCTTGGTCTTGTGCTTCTGGAGACAGGGTGCTCACCAGTTGGCTCTTCGCAGTTCTGTGGGCAGAAGGACTTGCACTAATCCTACCGCCACCTCTGAAGTATCTTCTTCTCTGAATTTTACCTCTTATGCAGCATCGCAGGTTAATTCCAGTCTGACTCATTGAAGCAGTTACTTGGTTCCTTGTACAAGTCCTTTATATTTGTCACGTTATTTGCTCTTTGGCTTCCACAGCCATACATACCGGTTGAGTGCAGTGAGTTTCAGCTGAAAGGTGAACTCTAGGAGTGCATCACGCTTTCCTGCATGAGTCAGATACTCTGCCTGTTTTGAAAGTGTTTGCTCAAGCAGGATTTATCTTAGGATGGTTGC